AAGAACTAAGACGACGGTAAAATATTGAAGTTTAATCTTTTATCTGTAGATTATTTGATCATCTAAATTATATTATTAATTGGTGTAACTTGGCGTAACTATATGCAAATCTTATGATCAACTATGCAGAAACTACGGAGAAACCTATTATAGAGGTTTCGGCATGTTTCGGCAGTTTCGCAATTTTGACAGGTTTCGCAGTTTCGGCGTTTCGGCGTTTCGGCACTATATAAGAGGTTTCACCTTTCGGCATTAGGCCAAACAGGTTTCGGCAAGCAACCTTATTTGGCAGTTAGTATTTTATCAGACTCAGTCATTTTCCTTTTTATATGACTGCAAACAATTTAAATCCCTTTTTCTTCCTCAGGTCATCAATTCAAAAAAAAGATTAAAAATTTTTTCAGATAGAAAGCTGTCTAATCATCTGGACTATGCAGTTATCTCAATTTCACGCTGTTCACATTTAATAAAGTAAGATCCAGCTTTATACTCACCTTCTATTTTTTCATCATCATGACCTAATTTACATAATGGGCAAATGTAGTTCCCGCATGATGTTTCATCAGTAATCCCATAATAATCGAAATTTTCACAATTACATTTTCTATATAGATTAAGATATTGATCTAATATCTTGTTGTAAAAATAGGACTGGTTATAAGTTGGGTTCGTCTTAGGCATTGGTCGAGATATAGGTGAAATATTTACTCCAGATTTTGAAGATGTTTGTTCCTCTGATGTATTAATATGTGACAACTCAGAATTTTTCTTATCACTTCCTGAACAAGATCAGAATGTGACAATTCAGAATTTTTCTCATCACTTAACAGTGTCTTTCAGCTGAGTACAGGTGGGCAATTCTATCTTAATGCTATAGTCAACTGGCATATTATCAGGACCCCGGATATCTAATATAAAGGTCATAATGGACTTTTGGCCAAAAACACCCTTTTTTGCTGAAACTCAAAAAATCGTTTTTTGTAAATATCTCAGCATCCAGTAATTCAATTTTAATGAACTTTTTTTTTATTTTGTAGCCCTCATTTAGCTCTACAATTTAAAAAATAGTTCATCAAAATTGGACTACTGGATGCCGAGATATTTACAAAAAACGATTTTTTGAGCCCCTGAAAAATGGGCCAATCTGCCGAAAGTGTGACTTATGACCTGTTTTGGAGATATCTGGGGTCCTATATTATCTATGATATACTGAATGTCTTTATACATTATTTTTGAAATACTGCTAACAGAGAATGAATGTATTTGATAAATTTTATCCATGCTTATTGCATCAAAAAACTTTCAGAGTTTCTTGACCTGCTCAATTCTTTTCCATAAAAGTGCATCAGAAGTATCTGCAGGAAGCTGAGCTTTAACTTCCATATTTAAAATTCTACTGATAGCATTGGATTTTGGATCAACTTGTTTTTTAAATGTTATTTCACTTCATCTCTAAATAAGAGCTTTTCCAAATTGACAGTAACATATAATGAATGAATGGCCTCTTGGACTGCACAATCAGTAAAGTTCTCAGTATCGAGAAGTTTCTTATACAAAAGAAAAAATGTTGTCCCTATTTTTACTGCTGAGAAATTATAGCTTTGTACTAATTGCTTTAGGCAAACATCCAAAGAATTCGAGCTCAGCTCACCCATAATATTAGAACATTTGGTGCTTGAATTCTCAGATGCTTTCTGAATGAATTTCTCCCTTTGTTCTTTCTTGCAAAGTGCTTTTTTGTTAACAGATACCTGTTTACCTGTTTCAGGAAAGATGGGTTTCACTTTTACAAGCTTCTCATCCCACTTTCTTTGCCTTATCCCATCACTGACAATTTTCTTATTCATTTCATCCAGAAAAGAGACCATCATCTCTTCCTCCGATAGCTTGATGTTTGCGTTATCACCAGGTGATCTAATTATGGGCTGGTCTATTACAGGATCAGGTATATCGTGGAAAGCATATGGCTGTAGTACAGCTAATATCTCTTTTTCTCCAACAGAGCATGAGTTCTGTATGTTAGTAACGTGCTATAGTTGCTGAAGCTTCGTGAGGTTGAAGGAATCGAAATTATGTCTTAATTTTGCTAATTCAGCTTTAAGCTTAGCATTCTCAGCTGAAATATCTATACTATTTTTCTCCAATTCTTCAATTCTGATCTTGTGTCTGGCATTCTCAGCATCACGCCTGGCATTGTCACCCCCGTCTGCCACCCGGCGGTAAACAAAGTTCCCTGCTTCTGTTATATGTGCTCTCAGCGAAACATTAACATTCTTGCTTGGTTTAGTTTTATTACTACTTAACTTTCAAATTGCGATAGCTCTCGCCACGATACTTCATCCTTTCTCTTTTTTCAAATTTACGATAGTCCTCTTTACGAAAGTTTATATTTTATTCGTTTCATAATTCTTGTTATGACATTAAATTCACCATGTATTTGTCCAATTAAAATTAATTAAGCGAACGTTACAATAAAGTTTAGGGCGAACCTATTACCTTTAAAATAACATTACGCTTAACTAACAATTAATTAAACAAAATTACTTTTTCATCATAAGAAAATAGTAACAAAAACAATCGAAACAATTAATTTTCATATAAAGGGTATTTTATTTATTCTTCATAAAATTCACAATTAACTAATTTACTTAAAGTTTTACATCATATCTGACGACTGTGGAATTCACTTCCCATTCCGCTCCTATTTAAACCAACTTTCTTATTCTTTCTTTTCCTACTTCTTATTTCTTTCTAATATTTTAT